TACTGTACTTTCTTCCACAGGGACAAACCCATGGCATCGTGTCAAGCTATTGTGGGGTTGTTGTTTTCCTGTTCGTTCTTTTCACGTGCAATGGAGAGAACGTAAATGGAGATTTATTGCCACAGGGCCTACTGCGATCCGTGTCTTGCTTCTTAGCTCTCGCTGCTATTCTTTTCACTCCCCCAAAGTTTTGTCAATATGAAGTACTGGGGACACACAGACGGCATCCTTGCTCTGTCAACACACAGCAAAAATCCTTTCAATGCTGCGGTACACAAAAGGGAGGAGATGAAAAGGGGGAAACGCCTCAATTTGGCACTTTGCAGGACAGTTTTAAGACGTTGCAGACAAAATTAATCTTGGCAACATTTCACCCATTTGACGTTCAGTGACTTCGCTTGGTTGTCTAAGGAGCTGTCAAGTCAATGTTCCCCTTTCAAAGACAGGAAGCTTAGAAGCTGTTAATTGTGGTGGAAGGTTAGAGTTCCCTCTAATCTGTGTGTGTATGTGTGTGTGTGTTTGTTCCAGCATAACTCTGGAATGCCTCGAGCAATTTCAACCAAACCTGTTACACCGATGACTTACTCTCTGGAAAAAAACACTGTGGGACTAAGACATGCCTAAAACTCCTCGGGGAGGTGTCTTCTGTTAAGATACAGCCTGTTGTGCCTTAAAATGGCTTCTACTGTACTGCCGTAAAATGGCTTCTACTCTACAGCGCAGTGGAGTTGCCATGGTAACGGCTTCACAATACTCCACCAGGAGACTCCCTCAGATAAGTGGGGGAAATCCAACATTAGAAATTACGTTCGGTCCGAACATTTTCCCCCTATAAATAAATACCTGGACAACGCCACATTATCAGTTAGTGTGGAAGTAAAACCCCAGTGTCATTAAAAACGAATAAATCCACAACCTAGCTGTAGCAAATCCACCTCTGCTGAGCTGAAAATTAAATCAGATCATCTCCCAGGCACTGCTGACATGATGAGAATCCAGGATGTTCTCTTTCTACACCAAGGAGGCTTTCTCTTAGCCAAGACTTCTCTTTGCTAGGGACCTTCCATGCTAATGAAATGAATACTGTAATCCGGGGTGGGGTGGGGGAGCTAATGGAAACAACTTTTCTAGGCAGGTAGGAGCCACAATATTTAAGCTAAGTAGTATTTGGCCATTCACTTACAGGCAATTAGCATTTCTCAACCTGGTTACGATGCTGCTAATACATTACTATTGTGAAATGCAAACATATACGCCAGGGGTGAAATGCTCTGAAGCCTGCTAC